TCAAACTACCTGTCTAAACAGCCACTCGCTTTTCGTACACACAGCACTATTTTACATTCACCATGAACACTCAAATTATACAATGGAACGTCAGGGGCCTTCTCAGAAACCTTGACGACATCCAAGAGCTCTTACACGAACACTCTCCAGAAGTGCTGTGTGTACAAGAAACACACCTTAACTCAAAACACACAAACTTTCTTCGTAAATACGTTATTTTCCGAAAGGACCGTGTTGATGCTATGACATCATCCGGAGGTGTTGCCATCATAGTGAATCAAGGAATTGCATGCACACACTTACAACTCCAAACATCCCTTGAGGCAGTTGCTGTTCGAGCAGTTCTTTTTGACAAACTGATCACAATCTGCACTATCTACATCCCTCCTAGCTATCAGCTGCAAAAACGTGATTTACACTCTTTAATTGATTAACTTCCGGAGCCCTATGTTCTCCTTGGAGACTTTAATGCGCATAGCAGACTATGGGGTGACTCTCGGTATGACGCGCGAGGTCGACTGATTGAACAGTTCCTTCTCTCCTCGAGCGCGTGTCTCCTAAATCGAAAAGAACCAACCTATTATAATCTCGCCAATAACACCTACTCCTCCATAGACCTAAGCATAGTATCTCCATCTCTTGTGCCTCTACTCCAGTGGAAAGTCGTCAGTAATCTTTACAGAAGTGACCACTTCCCCATAGTTTTGAGAACAAATACAGTAACTGAGTGTCCATGACGTGTTCCCAAGTGGCTCATAAACAGGGCCGACTGGGAACACTTTTATACCATCGCTCGTCTAGGTTGGAATGACATAAGTACTTTGAACATTGATGTTGCTGTCAACTACTTCACAGCATTTTTGATTGATGCTGCAACAAAATGCATCCCACAAACAAATGGACACCCTGGAAAACGGCGTGTGCCATGGTGGAACTCTGAATGCCGAAATGCGCGCAAACAGCAAAACAGAACTTGGAGGCTGCTTCGGAACTCACCGCCAGCCGAAAATCTTGACACCTTCAAGAAAATAAAGTCTCAAGGCAGGAGAACGCGTCGGCAGGCCAGAAGAGAAAGCTGGCAGAAGTTTTTGTCAGGGATCAATTCATACACACAGGAAGCTAAAGTCTGGAACATGGTCGGTAGGATAGCAGGAAAACAAGTACACACACTTCCACTTGTAAACACTCAGGGTGACACCTTGAAAGATCAGGCAAACTTCCTCGGTGCACACTTCGAACAGGTGTCCAGCTCATCCCACTATACTGACACTTTTCAAAAATACAGAACAAGAATAGAAAAGCAGAAACTCGAACACAAATGCACTAGATACGAGGCATATAATCAAGCGTTCAGTCTAGCTGAGCTGCGAATGTCTCTAAACTCCTGCAGTACTTCTGCCCCAGGTTCTGACCGTGTCGTTTATGAAATGTTAAAAACCTACCGATCGAAACACGAAAAACCTTACTTTGTTTGTACAATGCTATCTGGTTTTCTGGCACTATCCCTAACTCCTGGAAAGAGGCTATTATAATTCCCATTTTGAAAGAGGGCAAGGACCCTTCTTTACCTTCGAGTTATAGGCCTGTTGCGCTCACAAGCTGCTTGTGCAAAATCTTCGAAAAAATGATAAACTGCAGACTTGTACATTTTCTTGAAACAAACAATTTGCTCGACCCATTTCAGTGCGGGTTTCGAGAAAGTAGATCCACCACAGACCACCTTGTTCGTATCGAGGCACAGATCAGGGACGCCTTCGTCCATAAACAATATTTTCTCTCTGTATTCCTCGATATCGAAAAGGCTTATGATACTACATGGCGTTTCGGAATTCTAAGAGACCTGTCCCACCTTGGCGTGCGCGGAAGAATGTTCCACATAATCGAAAGTTACCTGTCAAACCGGACATTCCGTGTCCGAGTGGGCACGGCTCTTTCGCAAACGTTCGTCCAGGAAACAGGCGTGCCACAAGGTGGTGTACTTAGCTGCACACTTTTTCTCATCAAGATGAATTCCTTGCACTTGTCCATTCCTCGCAATATGTTTTATTGTACATATGTCGACGACGTCCAGCTTGGCTTTAGATCTTGCAACCTGGTAATGTGTGAGCGACAGGTTCAGTTAGGTTTAAACAAGGTCTCCAAATGGGCAGAGGAAAACGGATTCCGACTGAACCCACTAAAGAGCACGTGTGTCTTGTTTTCCCGAAAGAGAGGCATGCACTCAGAACCTGACATTGAATTGAACGGTCAACGTCTGTCTGTCAATGTGGAGTATAAATTTTTAGGATTAATCTTGGACAACAAGTTGACCTTCGTACCGCACATCAAGTATCTAAAAACAAAATGTTTAAAAGCCATGAATGTTTTAAAAGTGTTGTCACATACTACGTGGGGTAGTGACAGGCAATGTCTCATGAATCTGTATCGAAGCCTCATTCGCACCCGCTTAGATTATGGGGCCATTGTTTATCAGTCTGCAACACAAAGTGCTTTGAAGATGCTGGACCCCGTGCACCATTTGGGCATCCGCCTTTCTACGGGTGCTTTTCGCACCAGCCCCGTAGAAAGCCTTTATGTTGAGTCAAATGAGTGGTCGCTTCATCTGCAGAGAACTTACATGTCCTTTGTTTATTTCCTTAAGGTGAAAGCAGATAAGAAGCACCCCTCATACTCCACTATTATTGATTTGTCGAGCTCCATTCTGTTTCAAAACAGGCCTTCGATGAGGCAGCCCTTCTCAGTTCGCCTGAAAAGTCTAGCTGAGGAAACTGGAGTCTCACTTGAACATAGTTTAATGGCTCCTGTAGCATATCTGCCACCGTGGCAATGGCAGGCTATAGACTGTGATGTGTCCTTTCTTGAAGTTACAAAACATGCGCCTATTGCCCATATCCGAACATACTTCCTGGAACTTCAACACAAATACACACGTCCTGAGTTCTTTACAGATGCCTCCAAGTCTAACTCCTCTGTGTCCTACGCTGCTGTCGGCCCATCCTTTTCGGATGCTGGCCCTCTACATCCAGGCACAAGTATCTTCACAGCGGAAGCCTACACGATACTTGTGGCGGCTAAACACATCAAGCAATTACAAATACAAAAAGCAGTAATTTATACAGACTCCCTCAGTGTAGTAACGGCTCTGCACACTCTTAAAAAACACAAAAACCCAGTCCTTGTCTCACTTTACTCCATTTTATGCACACTATACACACTCAAGCAACATGTTGTAGTGTGCTGGGTGCCAGGGCACCGTGAGATTCAAGGCAACGTGAGGGCAGATCAGCTCGCTGCATCCGTCCACAAAAGCACTGCCCCTACACCCATATCAATCCCGGCCGTTGATCTTAAGCCGTCTCTCAAACGAAACCTCAGAGTATACTGGCAGAGCAAGTGGGATACACACACACAAAACAAACTACACGTTATTAAGCCACACCTTGGTCATTGGCTGCCTGTATCGAAATCGCGTCATACAGAGGTAATACTAACGAGACTCAGGATAGGACACACATACACGACACACACACACCTTTTGTCCGGTGGCGATCCACCATTGTGTGACAGATGTGGTGAAGTATTGACAGTCCTTCACATTTTAATTGAGTGCAAACAATTGGACACTGTAAGAAAACAACACTTTCCATTACCCTACCAACAACATATACCTTTACACCCTGCAATGTTCGTCGGTAGGGAACCGCTTTTTAGTCACAAATTATTGTTAGCGTTTTTTAAAGAAATTCATAGTTTTCTCATCATATACCCGGGCATCCCGTAGCATGACCTCTCCAGAGAGGTTTTTGCTGCGGTGGTTACACAAGAAAGCACTTGCCTCACGGCCCTTGGACGCAAGGGTATGAACGAGTGAGGCACTTGTGCTAATGCCATACATATCCACCATCGTCTTTTATTATCACCAACTTTTGTCATCTATTCACACCGCACACACCTTTCACGACATGGTCATGATTTTATTACTTGTATGTTTTTACCCGCCTTACCGCGAGGAATTTTATGGCCCTTATACAGCCGCTTATCACAATCATTGTCCATGTTTTTAGTAAGATGAACTGGCGCTCTTTGGCCGTGAAATGGCCCTTGCGCCATAAAACATCAAACATCATCATCATAGTCATTGCTTTACGGTGACAGGGCGCGTCGTTATAGCTGCATCGCAATTATGACGGGCCCTGTCACTATTATAATTTCACTATACGGTGACAAGTCCCGTCACCCCAATCACGCTTACTATACGCTGACGAGCCCCCTTTATTTAATTATAGTACTTTGCTGATGGACCTCGTTATTCTAGTCATGGTTACACTATGCTGACAGGCCCCTTCACTATAACGATAGCTCGGCGTTGACGGGCCCCGTGATCATAGTCACTGCCTTCTTTTTTACCATAATGGGTTATACCAATTCAAGTACTGCAAGAGCACTTTAGCTGAAGCCCTCAAAGGGGACAGTTCATAAAGGTCGAGATGGGCTGACAGTGCAAAGCTACAAAGAAATTACAAGGAAGCTACAACCAGGTTGGCCTGCTTTGAGTTCTTGATTGATTCATTCAGCCCCAGCCCAGCATGGTTTTCATGTATGGAAATCGGGAAGACAAAAGGGCTTTTTTTTTTCAGAAGTGCAATTTTTTTATGAAAAAAAAAAAAGAAAATGGAAAACGAACGAAGGCCCGGACATTTTTTATAGCAGAGTGTATACAGTCAGCAAAAGTGGCAGTATTACAGTTTATAAGAGACAGTGATATAAGTGACAATTGGGTATAAAAGATACCAGTGTGCCTACAGTAAAATACTGGTTGATAATAAAATGCATACAAGGTACTCTGCTTATAAGAGACATCTCATATAAAAGACAAGAATTGCTGCCCGGAGCATGCCTCCTATAAATGAGCTTAACTGTACTATTTCATTTTATCATTAGAACCTAATGTGATTAACTCCCGTGATTGTCACCTCACGCTCAAATCTCTGGCTCTGCAGACAGGATGCTCCTCGTAGTGACAGGTGGGGATGACAACGCGCTGATTCTCACCAACTACCTCATTACTGAGGAGAGCTCGGTGGTCGTTCTGGAGGAGCAGATTTTAAACAGTGCACACTCTACTCAAATCACCGGTGAGTAGCTCTTTTGTTTCTCTTGTGTTACCATAAAGATTCAGGTAAAAATACTGATTGGGTATGTGGGGTTTAATGTCCCAAAACCTCCATATGATTATGAGAGACGCCACAGTGGAGGGCTCCGCAAATTTGACCACCTGGGGTTCTATAACGTGTACCAAAATCTGAGCACACGGGCCTACAGCATTTTTGCCTCCATCGAAAATGCAGCTGCCGCAGCTGGGATTTGACCTCTCGACCTGCGGGTCAGCAGCCTTAGTCACTGAACCACTGCAGCAGAGCAGATAACAATACTAAATTCGGGATTTTTCTATTCTAAAACCACGACATGAGTAAGATGCATGCCATAGGGAAGAGATTTGCTTGGAAGGGAGTTCCTGGAAGCTTTCCATAGCAAGAGCAAGGGTATAGAGTGTATTAGTGACAGATTGATACATTTGTTCGGCAACAAGTTCAGTTTTTCAGATCAATGCTTGATTAGCTATGCTACAGCTACGTAGATGTGCTATAGGTGATGTATCTTCTCCGTAGTTTACCCGAAATAAAGCCAGTTGATACGTTTGCCCTGTGCACTGTCTTCTTCTCTTCTCAGTTAGTTTTTTCTATTTCTTGTTTGTGCTAAACAAATATTACGTCTGGCATAATAAAGGGTTCTGCAAATTTCGACTACTTGCGATTCTTCAATACCCATCTCATTGTAAGCACATTTTGCCTCCAAATGCAGTTTTCAGGACTAGTATCAAACGCTCATATTTTGAATCAGCAGCCGAGCACTGTATTCACTGTACCACTGTGGCGGCCACAATTAGATAGCGCTAAAGAGCTTTTTTAACAGAAATTCCGGCATCGGCATCAGTGTTTGTGTCGTTGGTTTTGAGCGAAAAATTATCATCTTGTCCATGATCAAACAATCGAAAAAGATTCAAATAAAATAAGCATAATACAAATTGCCAAAGTCAGGTTGAAGACCAACTCCTGGCTATTTGGGTGGGAAGCAGATACTCTACCGCACAGCAGCAAGATGGCAAGTTGGGCCTGTTTGATTTTGTTCATGATTAGAAATTTTGTTGAAGCACATGAAAAAATAGACAGAAGCTGATGATCACAATGCTTGCGAGTTCTATTAGTTAAAAAAAAAAAAGTATTTAAAGTGGATACAAGCTTCTTTTTGCATGTACAACAGAGCAGGGTGCAACAAAAAAAGCACTCATATTGGGATCACAAAATTGTCTCTGTTATTTGTCGTTTATTATATATTTCCCAAGCACTACGCATCCAAATAGGTGTATTTTTTATCTTGCAGCACAACCATGGCTTGGCTAACACAGTCATGTCCCTTCTTTTGGATGTGGTATGATTCCACTATCTTACGTGTCAGCTGATACTTATGTTGAAATACTGTTTGTTCCCCGCAGGGGCGCCTGCGCGAGTAGGCGTTTGGTGTGTAGCGACACCACGGACCCGAGCTAACGGGGGAGTTTTGACTCCCTCCCACGCCTAGCCGTGCGTGGCTTTGCCGTGTCCGGGGAAAAAGGGATCCTGGGGGTTGAGCCAATGCTGGGTGATTGGACTTTTAAGGCCCCCCAGTGGCGGCAACACACCCCTTTGGCCCTGCTTCACGTAGACGGCACCCCTGGGCTGACCCACCCAGGGGAAATCAGCAGTCGCCTTTTCCTATCTCTTTCTCTCTACATCTTCGTCTTTATCTCCCTTTTTTTATCTGTCCTGTCATCTTCTCTTTTCCATCTACTTCCAAATTTTCTGGCGGCAAGGGTTAACCTTGTGTGCTTATCCAACCTAGGATAAACCATATTAGGTTATAGTGATGGCTTACTGCTGGTGTTGCGCAGACGTGTTCACATGCTTTGCCACGTCCCCTAGTTGGGCTCCGTGGTGGGTGGTAGGCGCCGTTGCCGAACAAACGCTTTCTTTCATGGGATCACCAAACCCCTTCCTAAGTGATCGCCCCCAGAAAAGGGGGCGCACCGAAGCAGCCTCACAGTTTTTATTTGGTCCTTGAGCTACAAGACACCGCTCATCATCATCATCATCACAATGTGTAATGAAGAATCAAGACTTGTTCCCAAAATATCATGTCATACATTGTGAAACCACAGGAAGAAAAGCAACAAACATATCACCATTTCTAGTTTCCAGATGCCTCACTGATACCATCGGCTCTGGCTACGAAGCTACCAAGATGGCCAGTGGGGACCTGCTAATAGAAGTCAAAGACAAAATCCAGTATCAGAAACTAAGCAACCTTGTTGCATTTGGGGACAAACCTCTCACCATTACCGCTCACCGGACATTGAACACAGTGAAAGGTGTCGTATCAGATGAAGTTCTTTTAGACCTTACCTACGAAGAACTTTTGGACGGCTGGAAAGACGAGAATGTCATACACGTGCAGCGCATTAAAATTAGACGAAATAATGCAGAACTCCCCACAAAACACATTGTACTGACGTTTGGAACAAACAAACTCCCAGAAACAGTCGCTACAGGCTATCTCATGCTCCGTGTTCGACCATATATACCAAACCCGAGACGTTGTTTCAAGTGCCAACGATTTGGCTATGCTTCCCAAAGGTGTCGAGGGCAGCTCATGTGCGCAAGGTGTGCCACCACAGGGCACTCTTCTGATGACTGTAAGTCTGAGGCTGAGGCCCATTGCGCAAACTGTGATGGTGACCATCCCGCTTATTCTCGTTCATGCCCGGCCTGGAAAAGAGAAAACGAAATTCTCACAATTAAATTTCAAGAAAATGTCAGTTTCAGAGAAGCCCTACAGCGCGCATCGCACACTTTTCTACGGAAGTCATTCGCCGAAGTCGTGCAAGGGGGGTCAGCACCACTACGGTTTTCGGCGAAGCCCCGGACAATGCCTGGCGTGCTGAGGCAACCGCCAGCAGACCCTACTGGAGGAGCAGCCCTGGCTGCTCCGCCCTCTTTGAACACGGCCTTACCAAAGGCCCCTGTGAACCCTGACAGCAGCCAGGGCAACACACAAACTATAGGGGTTCCTTTGACCTCTGGCCCGGTGGGGGCGAAGGCTTTGTCTGCCAAGACAAAGCCTACCCCACGTACACGACTGTCTGGCGCCTCTCCAGAGGCGATGGACACCACTGACCCACCAGCGCCGAAGGAGCGGCGAGAGCCCCTTGACCGCTCCAAGAAAGAAAAAACACCAATTGCAGGGCCCCCTAAAGGCTCTGTAAAGTAAGTCACCCCCAATCTGTATACACAGCACTACTTTACACCCAATATGAAAACACAAATTATACAATGGAACCTCAGAGGACTGCTTAAAAACCTTGACGATGTCCAAGAACTTTTACACAAACGCTCGCCAAAAGTGCTGTGTGTACAAGAAACACACTTGAAACCAAAACATAAGAATTTCCTTAGAGACCACATCATCTTCCGCAAAGATCGAGATGATGCAATCGCATCATCAGGTGGTGTTGCTATTATATTAGACAAATGCATAGCGTGTCAAGATTTGCAGATACAAACGGCCCTCGAAGCAGTGGCCATTCGTGCTGTTGTCTTAGGGAAACTTGTTACCATTTGCTCAGTGTACATTTCTCCTCATTATCAGCTGCAGAAACAAGAATTTCAATCTTTTATGGATCTCTGGCTCTCCAGACAGGATGCTCCTCGTCATCTAAAGTGCATCTAACAACTACCTGAACCATATATCGTCCTTGGCGATTTTAATGCCCACAGCCCTTTGTGGGGTGACTCGAGGAGTGATGCGCGAGGCCGCTTGATTGAGAGCTTTATTCTTTCCACAGATGCATGCATTTTAAATAAGAAAGAACCAACATTTTTTAGCCTGGCAAACAAAATGTATTCATGCATTGAAATTAGCATTGTTTCTCCTACACTTTTACCTGATTTTAATTGGGATGTTATTAAACTATTTATTATTGACGCTGCTTCAGAATGTATCCCCCAGACAAGTTGTGGTCCCTGCAGGCGTCGTGTCCCGTGGTGGAACGATGACTGCAGGAATGCTCGCAAAAAGCAAAATAAAGCGTGGTGTCTATTGCGTGACTGCCCAACTGCAGAGAATCTGATCAATTTCAAACAAGTAAAGTCTCAAGGGCGAAGGACGCGCCGACAGGCTAGGAGAGAAAGCTGGCAGAAGTTTTTGTCAGGCATTAATTCCTATACTGATGAAGTTAAGGTCTGGAACAGAGTGAATAGGATAAGAGGTCGACAGACTTCTTCACCCCTCTAGTAGACACAGAGGCTAACAGCCTTGAGGATCAAGCAGACTCCCTGGGAGCATACTTTGAGCACGTGTCCAGCTCATCGCATTATTCTGATACGTTCAAACGATACAAAGAGAGAGAGTAGAAAGGCATAAACTTGAACGTAAATGTGAAAAAAATGAGCCATACAACAGACCTTTCAGCTTGGCTGAGTTGCAGGCAGCGCTAAACTGCTGCAACAAATCAGCCCCAAACTGCTGCAACAAATCAGCCCCAAGCTCTAACCGTGTTTTATATCAGATGCTTAAACACTTACCTCAAGAAACACAAAAAAGCTCTCCTCTGTCTGTATAACTCCATATGGGCTTCTGGCGAGATTCCCTCTGCGTGGAAAGGAGGCCATAGTAATACCTATTCTTAAACAGGGTTAAGATCCATCTTCTGTATCGAGTTACAGGCCTATTGCTCTGACTAGCTGCCTCTGCAACTTATTTGAAAAGATGATAAACTGCCGATTATTGTATTTTTTGGAATCAAACAAACTCCGCGACCTACATCAGTGCGGATTCCGAGAGGGTCGGTCCACTACAGACCATCTCATCTGCATAGAGGCGCAAATACGCGAAGCTTTCATTCATAAGCAGTTTTTTCTATCTCTCTTCCTTCGCATGGACAAGGCATACGATACAGCGTGGCGTTTTGGAATATTGAGAGATCTCACACATTTAGGTATACGAGGTAATATGCTAAGTGTAATCGAAAATTATCTGTCCA